ATAGCAAAATAGAGATTTTTTCCATTTAAATTATTCCCCCCAACAAAGTTTACTTTTTTGACTGAGCTTTTACTCCTCAAACATTAAAAAGTGAGTTTACCTCATATTAAGGACTCCAGTGGTATTTATGTTTGTCTTGTTTTGGAAACTATTTATACTACTTTTTGATATTTTGTTCAGGATTCATTATAGTATCATGCCAACTTTTAGTGTAAAACAGTAGTTTTAGTGATTTCTAGTTAGTGTAAAGGAGAAGAAAATTATTCCTTGATGGAACAAAGCACACACATTCCAAAAGCAAAATATCAAACCTTTTTATTAATTTCTTTGGTCTTTAATATTTATTTACTCGTATTTCCCCGGGGAGTTTTCATTTTTGTTCTTCTTGTTTCAGCCTATATTCCTTGTTAAAGATCAGTATGTATTTCTGCTTACTTCTCAAAAACTTTAAGTATGATTTGCCTTAAGTATTTATGTTTTATTATTGACAGGTGGAAAACAGAGATGCAGAACAGAGATAGAATTCAGCCAGGAATGTGAAGTTGAGAAAGACTTTATCGAGGCAGGGAAAGAACTCCCGGGAGGGAGGGGAGAGCAGAGAAAGGGACAGGAGCATCTTGAGCTGGGCGGGTTCCTGGACCTAACTAGTTAGGTCAGGGAAGCCGCACCTGGCAGTAAGACAGTGGGACATATTCAGGGCTTGAGCCAAGGCCGTAAGTCCTGATACGTGTAAGGAAGGCCTTCTGGTGCTGCAGTTGCAGGGTCTGAGTCACGATGTGGTGGTCTGTGAGTAAATCATGTTGTTTTTCACAGACCCACTTCCTGGAACGCTGAGTGAAGGGACTGTACAGAAGCGGCCAGGAGAGATAAGCTCCTTGGAATGCTGGAGGCAGGGAGGTGGGGGGAAGGGGTCACACAGTCTAGCAGGCAATCTTTCAGGAGAGTTGGGGGAAGCAGCTGCATGGTCTGGACCCGGGCCCAAACAATTATAATTTGGGTAAAAGTTTACCCAAATTAGATCATCAGTTTTACATTTAACAATTCATACACATCTTATTTCATCTCAATTGATTGCAATCCCAGCTGTGTACCATCACTTATCCCACTTCCTCCCAATTCTTCCTTCTTGTCTTTCTTTCTTTTTAAAATTCTTTTATTGGGAGCTCTTACAGATATCATAACATTCCATAGTTTAATCATATCATGCAATAAGGTACAATATATACCACAATTCGTTTCAAAATATTTTCTTTCTTCTTGAACTCCTTGATATCAGTTCCCCTGTATCCCCTCCCCCTCTCCTTCTTTTCTACCCTTTTTGAGCTTTGTCATAAATCCTGCCTTTTGATCTCAAATGGTTGGTTACTTGAAAATGTTTTTATCTCACTAGTGTTATTGTTCCTCTTACAGACTTGTCTATTGTTAATTGCCCTAAATATTTCATCTAAGACTTTGCTATTTTGAAAACATGTCTTATTAGGCTGTCTCCTTTCACTCTAGGAGCAAGAACCACCTGAGAAAGATGTGCCTGAAAAAGAAAAATCTCAGGAATCTGTGAATGAGGAAGAGACACCAGTCACAGTCTTAGTAAGTAATATTTTCCCATGATTGTGTTCAACTTAAAAGTTTTATTTCAAATATGAGTCCAGCCTGTGTTTTATTATTGTGATTTTTGTTTTATTCATACTTAGTATCAGAGATAAACTGGTAGATCACTTTCAGCCATGCCACTTGTAAAGGAAAATTCATCCTTTCCCTTAAAAACAGGTCTTATTTTCCAAGATTGTTAATGGAGGGAAAATCTCTCCATAGGGAAGGACATACAAAACTTACATCCAATCATGTTTTACCAAGCAATGCTGTCACCCCCACACAATGGTAAATGTTCAGAGATAACAAAAATAAATAAGATAAAATGGCTTTACACATTGTAGCTTACTCAACTTCCATGTGTGTTTCTCTACAAAAATTCTTTTCTGTCCAAGAGTACATCCAACCTGAGGAGAGTCTACCTTCAAAGTACTTCTAGTTAGTGTTATGCTAGAGTTAGCCTCCAAGTAATGATTGTACATAGCTTTACCCAATTTTATGTGCAGTGATGTCATCTTCATAACTTGAATAAGGAATAGGACTAATAGGGAGTATCA